GTATTATTGTTAGAGAATTGGACTAAATTAACACACTGGATGGATCCAATCTCACCGGATCATCATTTGGATATCCAATAAAAGTATCCAATGGATGGAACTGAACTGATCCAATTATCCATTGGATTGGATCGGTTTCCAATGATAAGTGGATCAGATTGGTTGCAAAATCTAACATTCAATGGATAATTGGATCAGCTCGGTTCTCCTCACATCCAAATGGATGTCAATTGATGAACATGCCTATTCCGACCACTACTTCTTTCCCATACAAGCCATTATCTCCTTCTTTGCTCCCTCCGATTACTACCACCACGAGTGAAGTTCATCGATCCAGTTCATTGTGATTTCATCGAGAAATCAAGGGGAGAGATCTAGGGTTTTGTATTGGTCAAGAATTTTCATTGAGAAATTATGGTAAGAGAAAACAAAATCGTCCCTGTAACCATTCAATTCATAGGAGGTTTGTCTCTCTTATAAAAAATCTTAGTCATGTTTTATGAAATCTTGGTTCATGGAAAATTTGTCTATTTCTTTCTTGTCACAATGTGTGATCTTATTTATACAGTGCTAATACCTTAAATCTTCAAGATTGTGTTACAATCAATATGTTCTTTTTGAGTTTTCATTGGTACCATCTGGTTCAGAACACGTTCAGTCAGACACTCGATAAAACTCCCTTCACCACTCACTTTGATTTTCAATTTTATACACATAAAAGCTTGTTTGTATGCATAAATAGAATCTATTTGTAAAACAAACGTGGATGATTTAGGCTCGCTTTGTTCCCGAATCGAATATGTTTGAAGATATAATTTTTAGCTCTACCGGTTGAGTATGATTTTGATTTTGATGGGTTCATCGGAGTCCACATAGATTATAGATACATGTTCAAGGGGTTGAAAATGGTGGTGGGAGGGGAAAGGGCATGATGCTGGAGATGGTTGTGTTGGAGAAGGGAAAGGTATGTTGGAAATGAATGTTCACCGGTGGTAGATGTTCAATAGGGAAAGGGTACGATGCTGAAGATGGATGTTCATTGGTTTTAATTTTCAAAATGTTTCTATTTTAACTGGTAAAAGGACCAAAAAAGCCCCTCATTTAACAAAGTTTCTTTTAACAAAGTTAGGTCAAGAAATTCAATCCATAAAAAAATTAAAACCATAGTGACCATATTCGTAATTATTTTGTTTGAGAAATCCAATCCATGATTTATATATAACCGTAGGGACTAAACTTGTAATTTACTCTATTACGTTTTTCGACATCAGTTTCCTTTACCTTCTGTTGGAAGCTAACAAAGATTTTTCTAAATATATTTAATAAAAAATTATATTTTCATCTTACGTATTTAATTCTTTTAAATATTTATTTTATAAATATGTTATTTTTTTATGTACGATAAATACTTATTTATATTTTTTTATTTTTGATAAAGTTTGAACATCTAATGTTATTTCTTTTAATAACCCAAATACCGATATATCAATAGCCCTCTAGTAATATATTATCTTTTTGTAAAAGTACTAAAAGAATAAATAAATAATTAGAAATAGTTGTGTACCAACGCAATGCGGCGGGAGCCATGAATTTTAACGATTTTGAAGTTCCACTGGTTTTATAAGATAAAATTTAACGATGGTATATATGTTACACTTGGTCTTTACATATTAATACAATTTGAATAAATAAGAAATATGATTCCAATTACAAATTATCGGTGACAAAAATTGTATGACAGTTTAAAATCCAATATATTTAAAATCTAACATATTTAAACGACTCCACAAATGTATTCGATTTACACAAAGAGCAAAGAACCAAGAAACTTGAGTTTTAAGATAAACACTCAAAACCAATAAAGAAAACTACAAATTTGACAKATCATAAGCCATGAAAAGACCAAAAAATATGGGTTTTAGAATGAAATTTCAACTGCTTACCCTCTTTCTTGCCCAAAAACTCAGATTAAGGTTGAATTAATACATGTATATATATATATATATATATATATTTCAAAAAAACTCAAGAACATATTAATTCAGAACATATTATACAGTGCAATTTGGACAGCCTAACCCCAAATATAATATATATATATATATATATATATATATTTATATAAACAAATAACTATAAAAGTATAAATCATAAATATTAAAAATATTTTTTCACAGTATATATAATAATATAATTAAGTAAAAAACTATTCAATATTGGACTCGTTTGGAAGGTATTAACGAGACAATTATAATGGTGTAACTTGTTAAAATAAAAATGTATTTTTTTAAACATGTTTTAATTGATATACGATTATGTATGTTAATTTGATAAAAGTTTAAAATGAAACATTTAAAAGTGAATGACGTAAAGTAAATTAATTAACTAATTATAGGGGTATAAAGTGAAAAAGTAGTATAAATGGTATCTTGGTCATTTAAAATTTTAAAACTTTAAGACTTTTGATAAATTTGCTTAATAAGATAGTATAGATATTTAGTTTACGTTTTTTTTAAAGATGCTGAAGTCTTATTTCACTTATGATCTAAGAAGATGGTGCTGACGTCTGAAATTTGAATCAACAAAATAGTTTGTTTTTGTAAACTAGTAAACATATGAATCTGTTTAAATTATCTATTTTACTTATTAAAAAATTACATTGTTGAATTTATAAATAAAATTTATACAATTTCACATACTTATTCAAGATCATTACGAAATTTACGTCTAAATTATATAATTAGCATTTATTTAAATGAAAATATATCATTAACATATTTAACACATTTAAATCCTATTAAAATATATCAACTGAGAGACCTGATGATTGATTTGGTAATGATTGATTGAGAGAAATGATTGATTAAGGTTAATCGATTGAGAAACACCGTTGTTGAAAGTTTGAAGAACAATAAAAAAACAAGAGGTTGTCTTACCTCTTACAAGATAAGAAAACAATAAGAAATAAGTGTTTCTAAAGATTTGAAAAAAACAAACAGTCCGAATGATCTTACCTCTTAATAAATCAGACATAAGAGGTAAATAAGAGTTTTTTTTTATAAAAGAACGAAATTGGGATTAATTAGGATTTTAATTAACGTGTTGATCATTGGAACATGATACATTCATGCATGTAGATAAATTATAGAAATGTATGTATGTCTAAGAACATAAATATTCGAGCTGTTATTATTAAAAAGAAAAAAAAAGAAACATGTTCTTGTACTTTAAAAAAGATTATTTGTTTGTATATAAAATTAATGTAAATAATTATTTGTTTGTATATAAAATTAAGTGGGGTAAATGATATATTCCATTTGTACAACAAAATAATAAAATTTTAAGATTTTGTTCGATTTGTGATCATGACGGTCATTGTACAAGATTTAAATCGCTTTATCGTCTTAAAACATCATGAACATCACTTGTCTAAAGCATTTTTACATCTAAATAGTGCAAGTTTATATTAGTCGTGTTTATTTTTATCCATTCATTTAATACAGATCATTAATAAAATGATTTCTTTTTGCCTCTAACGTATACCTTATTTGACAAAAGAATGTGACGGCATTATTGAAATAAAACGATGCCTTTTTTATCTAATGCTTATGCACATAAACAGATACTTATATTTTGTTTTGTTTTATAACTATGGAAATATGAGTAGATAAATAATCATGACACTATTGAAAATGGTATGCATGTATATAGGTAAGGATTCAATCGAGAACATCTTAGTAAGAACTGTCTTTGTTATATTCATCAGATGTGATGCTAAATTAGAGACTTGGCCAACCTTTGATGCGACTCAGGTTGCGGGTCAAGTCGTCTGTACATCACAAGGTTCCCTTAAAAAATATTATCAGATGTGATAATGATGTTCTTGATGTAATATTATAATCTATCACATGTGATGCTAAATCAAATATGTAGATAACATTTGGCGCAACCTATATTTGCATGACAGGTCATGCACACACCACCAGATTCTTTAATATATTATCGCATATGATAAAAGTGTTTTTACGTTTTTTATAAAATCAATGTGTTATTGTTTGAACATTCACACACACACACACACACACACACACACACATATATATATATATATATATATTGGTATGCAAAAAATAAAATGCGTTTCCATATTTGTATGAACAAAAAACATTAATGCATTTCCATATTTGTGTAAACAAAAAATATTAAAAGTCAAACAACTGATTATTGTATACTATATTATAAAACATTTGATAAAAACTCTTAAAACTCATTTTTTGTACATGGAGTACGGTTTATTGATTTATATTACTTAACATTCAAGATTACAAGTAAATTTTATGTTAATACAACTTATTAAGACTTCATGTTTGAATTCGTGTAACTAATTGCAAATAAATATAATTAAATAAAAGATAAACATTTTATTTTAAATATAAAAAATATAAATATAATTCGGATAATATTATGAGTTATAACAGAAAACTTAACTATTATTTTTAGAAAAAATTATA